GCTATTCCGGAAAAACTATTCTGCTCCCGCTCGGGCATAAGTCCTTATTCCGGAACACTGTTCCGGAAAAGGGCCAGTGTAGACAGCCCAGTAGTCTTTTCCGGAAAAAAGCCCCGATCGCGAAAATGGCGATCGGGGCTCTTTTCTGGAAAAGTGCGTCTACACTGGCCACAGACGCTTTTCCGGAAAAAGGGCTTTTCCGGAAAAGCAGCCTGCCAATGTAGACGCTCCTTTTCCGGAAAAACTGAAAATGGAATAGTATTCCGTTTTAAGCATTTCCGGAAATTCATGCCAGTGTAGACACAGCCAGCCTGTATGTTTAGTCTGGAAAAGAGAAGACAAAGGGGACATACTTGAAAAATATTATCTAAAAGGGTGTTACAAGGAGGGGGGAGAAAAATGGTTCTTGGCCTCTGAGGACAGGACAGGGAGCAAGGGGCTTAAACTGCAGTGAGGGAGGTTTAGGTTGGACATTAGGCAAAAGTTTCTGCCAGTCAAGGTGGTGAAGCACTGGAATGAATTACCGCGGGAGGCTGTGGAATCTCCCCCCTGAGAAATATTGAAGAGCAGGTTGGACAGACACCTGTCAGGGCCCGTCTGATAATACTCAGTCCTGCAATGAGTGCAGGACCTAGGATTCTGTGACCCAGTGGAAGTGGGTCTGGCCCAGACCTGCTCTGCAGTCTAGTTTTGCAAGAGCACAACCCGTGCCTCCTCCCTCCTGCCCCACCCAACCATTAGGCTCTTCTGCTGGCCCTGGCATAGGTGTGGGAAGTAGGGGTGCAGGAGATGCTGCAGCACCCCTACGCTCAGGGGCGGACTGGCCCGGCGGGATACTGGGAATTTTCTGGTGGGTCGTCGGCCAAAGGGCCGGCTGGCAGCTGCTGGAGGAGGGGGATAAACCCGGCAAACTGCTCCTGGGAGCGGCTGCCAGAGTTCTGGCTCTGCACATCCTTTCTCCCCCCCACATCTCCCCACTCCAGAGGTGTAGCGAACCGGGGGGGCAGTTGCCCCTGCCCCCCAGACACCACTCTAGGGGGGGCACCGGGCTGGGGTGGGACCAGAGAGCCACGCTGCTCTTGGGTCCGGGAGCTGCCGGCTGGCTGAGCGGCTCTCTCCAAACTGCAGCTGAAGCAGCCAGCTGGGCGGGAGGAGCAATGGTTTTCAAGGTATGTTCTTTCGGTGCTTGGCGGGGGGGTGCTCCCCCGGCCACTGGGGGTGCCTTGCCCTGGGGGAGGAGGGGTGAGTGCACGGGGGGGGTTCAAAGGGGGACCTTCCAAAAGCAGGCGCCCATAGGTCCAGCCTTTCCCTGAGCCCACTTCACAGGTCCCACTGTTCTTATTGTTCTTGCTCTGGCTTCCACCTGTCTCCAACCATTGCAAGTGCCCAGAGGAGCTTTTCTTCCATGTCTTATCCATTCACACCTCATTCACTCAACAGGACAATCAGTTTAGCAAGGGGGGGGACTTCCCCCCACCCCCATGTTCCTGCTAATGGGAGCCAGAGCTGGTGCGTGGACTTCAGTAAAATTAGCCCCACGTGGCCCAGCTCCAGGCCCGGCATGTGGTCTGGAGCCCCACAAGCAGCTGGGTCCAGGGCTGTGGGGACTTCTGGGGCCCGACCACAGACTCCAGCCTCACAAACTGGAAGGCAGAAGGTGGGGGAGGAGAACGGTGAAATATAGGGGGAAGGAGAGGGAGAGGAAGGGGCTTGTGCTGAGGGGAGGGGGACAGCTCAGGGGAAGAAAGGGGAAGGCACCAAGGGACAGGGTGAAAGAGAGACAAATGCCGGGGGGCCATGTGGAGACAATGAGGAAAAGGGCAGGAGGGGAGGTGTCCGTGGGAGGGGGGACAGGGTGATGCTGGAGAGGAGAGGAGAGGGGAAGGGCACTGGGAGTTAGAGGGGAGAGGGGGAGGTGCTGGGCGAAAGCTTGAAAGAAGGGCTGGGAATGAGGAAGGGGGTGATGGAGCAAGTCATATGTGAGGGCACAGGGGCATGAGATGAACAGGGACAGAGGGTGGTGAAGGGGTGGGCATCAGCGATTCTAATGAGAGGTCTCCCTGGAGTCTTCCAGCCAGGCAGCTGTTAGAGTAGATGAGCCCAGGTTGCTCAATAGTATAATATTTTGATAATCTCATCTTTGGAGCTGAAGTGTTTTATCTTTGAGCATGTCCTGCTCTCTGCCAGCAGAAGGGCAAGGACTTCTGGAGTAACATTTAACCTGGATTTCCTGAATAGCAACATTCCATATCACCAGCAGATTGGAAACATTCATATTAGCATGCATCACAGGTAATATTATCTATAAGCAACTACTGTGATAAAAGCACTGATAAATATTGGGAAGAAAGTATGCAGATTATGACCACAGTGTTTGCAGTACTGGACACAGATCTCAGAGGGACAATGTGAGTAGAAATATCTGTATGGGTGACAAGCAAAGGAGAACAGGTTTATTTAACAAAACTAAAAGGAACAAAGAACTTTGCAAAGTCTGAATAAAAATTGTTTCTTCTCCTAATTAGTAATATTTTACTAGTTTGGTATTTGTGATCTCATAGACCAATTATCTGGACAGAGAGACTTCTAAGAAAAACATGGCATACAGGAACTAGAGAGGACATACCATGTATATGGGGAAGCATGGAAAAAAAACATGAAGAAGTCAGTGCTAAAAGTAGATTAATAGGCAGTGGAGGTTGTAATAAAGTAGTTTTCTGGGGGCACTACTGAAAGGGTCAAATCAGGGCAAACTGCTTAGAGACAGGGCTATTTACAGTCCAAGACTGGGGGGGTCCTCCACTATAAGGCACACAAAACCAGCCACAAAGAGCACTTCTGTTTACCCCACTGGCTAGCAAGAAGTCATACAAGCACACACTCCAGTTCTTCTGTGCCACACCAGTTCCACTTCTTACATAGATGAGAGGTTATGAAAACCAATCTCACCAAACCCAAACAAGTTATTCCAATTCCAAAGGGCCAGCCACATTCCCAGGTTAATTTATACCTCATATCTTACCCAAAAGAGTATGCTGCGCCAATCCTTTATAATCTAAAACTTCAAGGTTTATTAATAATAGAAAAGAAGGAAAGCAGGAGAGTAAAATTGTTAAAAGAGTCAAATTACATACATCAGTTGCAAAGTTCTTGCTGCAGGCTTGTACAAGATATGGAATAATTTTCTGTTTTATAAATCTCTGGAATACATCATCTGTGAGAATGGGTCATCAGTCCTTTTAGGCTTCAGTTCATAGCAGAGATCCTTCATAGTCGATTACCTAGAATGAAGACTGGATTGAAAACAAGAATGAAGCAAAAAATGGAAAAGCCCTCTTTATACCCATGCCCATGTGGAGGGAATTCCATTGCTTTCCTTGTGTGAAAGTATGTTCCAAGATGGAGTTTATCACATGAGCAATTCATCTGTGCATACATGACTCAGTCCTTTCTAGGCATCAACCTTTGCTTACATGGTCTGAATGTTCACAGCAAAGCTCATCAGATGTGGATTGGCACCACCTAAGATGCACTGTTAGTCAAGTACTCCTGTTCACTCACTCTTTCACTATAGGTTGACCAAGCCGGAAGCAAACATCTGAAATACAAATACAATTCTCATAACTGCAAATACAAAAATGATATATGCATATGAACAGTATAAACCGAATCAGAGAATCATAAGCTTTTGATAGACACCTCACTTGGCCCACTTTGTGCAAGATTTGGTTACATTCATCTCACAATCCAATAATGTCACAGAGGCTGGCATTGTTGGTGGAACAGAGAGAGGAAGATAAGACACTAAGTACGGTCAGAAAGATTGTGTAAATATCAGTATTTTCCAGATTGGCAATGAAATGTGTGCTGAGTAGGACACCTCTGCACACCTTCCTTCAGTCTCTCTGACCCCCTCCACAACAATTTGAAATAGCTTCTACCTAAGGCTTTGTCTACATCGGCAATTGAATGACAAAGCTATTGTCATTCACAGGTGCTTAAAACCCTTCCTTCCAAACAACAAAAGCTTTACCATGGCAAGTACTAGCAGGCTGTGTCTACAGTGGCACCCCTTTCCGGAAAAAGGATGCTAATGAGACCAGTCGGAATTGCAAATATCCCCCGCGGCATTTGCAGGAACATGGCTGCCGCTTTTTTCCGGCTCGGGGTTTTTCCGGAGAAAAGCGCCAGTCTAGAAGGGATCTTGCGGAAAATAAGCCCTTTTCTGCAAGATCCCTTACTCCTACTTTTTAAATCCCCTGCGGCATTTGCAATTCCAAAGTGTCTCATTAGCATCCCTTTTACCGAAAAGGGTGCCAGTGTAGACACAGCCTAGATGTATAGTGTCTTCCCTCTCATGCAGAGAGCCATCATATGCAGTTATTTGTCTATGGCACCATCTTCTGGGTGTTGCTGTAATGCTCCCCCATTCACCTTCAAAGGGGGACCTTCCAAAAGCAGGCGCCCATAGGTCCAGCCTTTCCCTGAGCCCACTTCACAGGTCCCACTGTTCTTATTGTTCTTGCTCTGGCTTCCACCTGTCTCCAACCATTGCAAGTGCCCAGAGGAGCTTTTCTTCCATGTCTTATCCATTCACACCTCATTCACTCAACAGGACAATCAGTTTAGCAAGGGGGGGGACTTCCCCCCACCCCCATGTTCCTGCTAATGGGAGCCAAAGCTGGTGCGGGGATTTCAATAAAATTAGCACCCCGCGGTCCATCTCCAGGCCCGGCACGTGGTCTGGAGCCCTGGAAGCAGCTGGGGCCAGGACTTCTGGGGCCTGAGCAGACTCCAGCCCTGCAAACTGGAAGGCAGAAGGTGTGGGAGAGGAAGGGGCTTGTGCTGAGGGGAGGGGGGCAGGTCAGGAGAAGAAAGGGGAAGGCACCAAGGGACAGGGTGGAGGAGAAACAAACGCCAGGGGGCCAAGTGCAGACAATGAGGAAAAGGGCAGGAGGGGAGGTGTCAGTGGGAGGGGGACAGGAGAGGAGAGGGGAAGGGCATTGGGGGCTAGAAGAGGGAGGGAGGTGTGCTGGGGGAAGGCTTGAAAGAGTGGGCATGAGGAAGGGGGGATGGAGCAAGTCGTGTGAGGGCACAGGGGCTTGAGGGGAACGGGGGCAGAGGGTGGTGAGGGGGGCATTAGAGGAAAAGAGGGCAAAGGGGCAAGGGCAGTGAGGGAAGAGGGAGGCACCAGGGGAGTGCAGGGGTAGGGAGGGTGCAGGTGCCAGGGAACTCTGGGGGTGAAGCAGAAGGGCAGACACCTGCAGGGGAGGGACCATTCTGCGCAAGGGAGGAAGCTCTTAGAGGGAACACTCCCCCCAGCTCCTCCCCACACATGGCCAAAGCTCTGCTCCTGGCCCCGCACATGGGGCCCTAGTTGCTGGTCCATGCCTGGGCCTCCACTTCTTGCCCCATGCCAGCCCCTCACCTGTCGCCTCTGTCGCTGAACTTTGTCCGGGCCCCCCCTGCCCTGCCCCCAGCCTCCACTGAGGTGTGTGAGGTGGACAGGGAGCTTTCAGCACCCCCACTGCCAGCGGGCTCTGGCTTCTCCATGTGGGCCAGGTACCTTCAGGAACTTGTCGAATTTGAAGATGGCCTCCTTGAGCTGCCCTTCTTTGTGTTGCAGCTCCTTTCGGCGCTGCTGCAGGCTCTCCATCTTCATCTGGAACTCCTGCAGGGGGCCAGGCCAGGGACGTCAGGGTGGGGCCAGCCCAGGCACCTTCCCCGGGGCAAGGACCCTCCAGCTTTCAGTGCTGCATGGGTGTAGTGGTCCACCACTATGG